GTACAATGCTATTTCTTGATTTTAAAGATAATGGCACTTCAATGCAATTAATATACGTGCAGTGAAATTATGTTTCTGGGGAAAAAAAAACCACCAAGTTGAACTCTGCTGATATTGGAGTGTTCAATGTAAAAATAAGAAGTTCCACTACATGTCTAGAAGGTTCATGTTTTTCCAACCCACTGACAGTATTTGCATTCTCCTACAAAAAAAATGTTTGTTCTTTTAGAGATGTCAAGAAACTAGTGTTGGTGCTCTGTACTAGTGTTAATCTTTGAAGGGCACCTTTGATGAAGAAAAGAATTGGTATATGTTTTGCTTTACAAAAAAGTGTAAATTGTTCTGAAAGTTTATGAGGTCTGTAAATTGTTCTCTGCCTGTTACAGTGTTTGTTTCATTTTATTGCATGAGTTGATGGCATCACTTGACTAGGAAATGCAAAAAAATTACTGTAAATTCTCCAGCGTGTACTTTGGTTGCAAAGATGGAACTAATGGGAGGGAAAATACCTTTTTATAGGATGTTGCCACTCAGAATTATTTTGTTGACTTACCATATCCAGTGTAGAGCCACCTTTCACTGCTCTAACAGCTTGGAGAAATGTTTCATTTATCTGAGTTGAACAGGTTGAGCTAATAGTTAGGAAGTGTTTTATTAAAAATCTCTGTTGTTTTCTGCTCTGTTATGCACGTTGTTAGGAATTTCTGCAGTACTTCTGCAGAACCACTGTAACCTGGGATATGTTCCTAAGTTAGTCAGCTTTTATTCATTCTAAAAGTTAACTGAATGATTCTGCTGTGCTACGTATGATGAAAAATAACTTAGAGTGAGTTCTTGTCATACGGAGTTCCTTCTGTTCTGGTTTGGAAGACTTGTGTCATCTCCTGTACACTACTACTGTTTATCGTCACAGTAGAATGCCAGGAGGAATTTGGAAAGTAGGGTTGTGGGTTTTGTTTTGGTGGGGTTGTTTGTTTGTTTGTTTTTTATTTTAGCAAAAATGTTTTTACTAGACCGACTGAGGGAGTTAGGGAAGGTGAAGGCAGTTTTGGCATATATGAGTGTTTCAAGTCTCTGACAGATAAACTTGTTCTCCTTTCATTTCTGGCCTCTCTTCTCAAAATTGAGAGAAATTCCCTCTTCTTGTCTTACACGCTTTTCAATTACCTTTGGAAGTCAGCAGAAACCCTTTGGGCTTTCCTTTCTGAATATGAAACATTGCATGCCAGATGAAGCAGTCTGAGGAGAGAAAAGACGGCATAAAAGGCTTTTGGGGTGAATATTTAGGACCATAAAGGAATCTTTTGCATATTTGTGGAAGCTTTGCATCGCTCCCTCAGCCTTGTATATTAGTGCTGTGATGAGAACTATGGAGTCCACAGACTTGTGAATGATGATGAGGTTTTCTTTTCACTTGGGAATCTGCTGCTGTTCCCATTCTGTCACCATGTTTGGGGTGATGTCCTGTTGGCTGCTGCTGAGATGGATGCTCTTGCATTAGCAGCTGGATATTTAGCAGCAGGAACTTTTAACTGATTTTCCAAAACTGACTTGACTGACTTTAGGGAACAATGTATAAAGAGCATTTCCTTAAATAAGCTGGTTTGAGGTTTTTTTTTTTTCCAATAAATTTTTGAAGGTACCCAAAGAATCAGCCAGACTGATTGATTAGCCCAGGTAGATGATGTACAAATTCAACAATTTTCAATGGACTATTTTCATACTTTAATTAAAGGCAGATATATTTCATAGTGTTTTCTATTTTTCACAAAATGCATATTAAATATTTGTGAAGCTATAATGTGTATCGGGGTACATTGATTAAATATCATTTGGTTAAGGTGAAGGTTGGAAGAGCAAATACTTAATTACCAGCAAATTTGTAACTGTCAACTTTTTTTGAAGTTAATGTTTATTGTGGATATATGTGATGCTTAATGTAATGAGGTGGACCTATGGATAACAGAAGAGCCATCATGGAAACAGATAGCATGTGCAATATGATCTGTATAATGCTAAATAGATGAATGGATAATTTTAAATTAGTCCTGAAAACGTACTCATTTTCTTTACGTTCTTGCATACTAAAACTCACTTTTTTCAAATACCAGCTCTTCAGACTACTGCAACTTTGGAATAACTTTACCAAATAATTTTTCCCTTTTGTGTGTTTATGTGTGCAGGTCTTATTCAGCCAATCCCAAGGAACAGCCAGTTCTTCCAAAATTATTTTAACAATAATTTTGTGAATGATGCAGACAGACCATACAAATGTTTTTATTGCCATCGAGCCTATAAAAAATCTTGTCATCTTAAACAACACATCAGGTAAAAGAAATACAAAGAAGAAACAAATTTATGGAAAAGCATGCAATTTATCTAGTGTTTGCTGAAAAGACTTCTTTTTTTACTGTGTCTACGTAGTGAAACAGTAATAATTGATTTTTCTGGTACGGTTGAAGGAGACTTTGGACTAATTCATACGTATGTGCCGTTCTAGCTATACCCCAAAGTGATTGTGTTTAGTGTGGAGTTTAGCTTATTAACACTCAGACTCTTTTTTTGCTAAACTATGTATATAAAATAGCAAGCGTTGCATGTGAATTCTTGTCACGTTTTTGTAATTGCACACTCCAGATCATCTGCTTTGTATGGAACTGCTGTTTTTCGAGAAGGAGATTAATTTAGATTTTTGTGTGTGTGTGCTGTTGTCTGTGTACTAAACCTAAAAGAATTTAGGCTTACATTGTAATTGAGTAAACATTTTTGGGATTGTCCATATAGTGGGTGTTTCTTACAACTATATGGTCATGGAGTCACAGAAAAATTTGGGTTGGAGAGGGACAGGCAGAGGTGACTAATCCAGCCTCGTTTTCCAAATAAAGGCTAGCTTCAAAGTTAGATTGGGCTGCAGTTTTACAGTCTGTGACATTTAGTTATCAAACACTGCTCCCTGATTTTTAAACGGTGAATAACTGGAGGAGAACATATGAAAAAACCCCCCCACCAAAGTTCTCTACTATGATCTAAGGAAATTTTCCCAACAACCAGGTGGCAACTTGCTTCTGCAATATAAGCTTTGTACCACTTTCTCACTGTCTCTGGGTCAACTCATGGCGAGTTCCTCGTGTCCTTACCAATCAAGTTTTGTATCGGTAGGTTCTCAAACTGGCTTGAAACCATTCTTGGCTTCTGTATGCTGTCTCATGGGAGTGGGGGAGGTCTTGAAATAGCACATCTTTTCCTTTTTTAGTATCCTACCTAGATAAGGTAGGACAAAAAGACACTGTCTTTTGCAGACACAATCAAGCTGAATTGCATTAGATCAAAATAATTTATATTAGTAAGTGTTGCTGGTCTGCATCATTATCACGTTCATTGTCCTTCATGGAAATAGCTGATTTGAATTGTATTTCACACTTGTCTCTATTTTCTTAAAGAGAGTGTAACTGTTAGTTACCATTAAAATGTTAGTTGCCACTAAAGAGGGTCTTTGTTTTTCTTCTCAGTACTGACATACAGAGATGTGATGGGGTACCAATCACTTTCCAGTGTGCTGCTTTCTGGTTGATATTTGCAACAGATTACTGAGTGAAGCTTAGCTTAGCTTGGCTTTGGTCAGAGTTTTGTAGATGAGTTGGAAACTTTACTCTTTTTTTCTATGTTTGTTCTTTGTAAGTTGGCACTGCTATGCCTAAACTGCTAGGCTTGACACTTGTGTAGTCAGACTGTCTTTACAGAATGATGCTGATCACTGCTTAGAAAGCTTGTTTCCCCCTCTGAAACAGCGGGAAATTAGTAGTAGGTGTATTTCTGACAGAACAGTGACTGAATAGTGTGTGAGGTTCTCCCACAGGCACACCAAGGAAGGCCTGGGGAACCCTACAGCCAATTTCCATACATGTATATTGGTGGCAAAACAGTAATCTTGGTGCTGTCACGTGTCTTTATTACGGCATCTCAGGTTCGGAGGCTTCTAAGGCTATTATAATCAAAAGCCATCCCTAACTTTTCCCAATTCTGTTAAATCCTGCTTACTTTATCTTCCGTTTTCCTAGCATTCACATTGCCTTCCTCTTAGTTCTCATTCCTGGGATGCTGCAGCTGTAACCCTTGAATTTTTCATTGCACTTCCTAACCTGTCCTTCAGTCTGGTTTATATCTCGATGTAGTCCTAAAGGGAAACTCCTCTAGCACCTCTGGAAGGCAGGATATAATGTGTGGGACATGTGGATAGTATAGGGGAGAGAGCTTCCCCAGTAGAATGTTGTTTTCACAGAGCAGTCTGAAAGACCGGGCCTTGTTCAGGGGATGTTCTGGATGGACACAGTTCTTTTTCCAAAAGTTCCATTATTAAACATAGTAGGAATGTATAATATGAGAAGGACCATATTATATATTGGTCCATTTTATATATTGATATTATTATAATATTATATATTATAGTATG